CTCCCAGAATAAAATGTCTAGCTCATCTAGCTCTAGCGATGATGAAATGATAGAGACGTTCTTTCTTATGGGAGCTGCTGTCGTTAAGGAAGAAGAACAAGAGAAATGTTCAACTTCAGTTCAACACAAACGACGTATCGTGCTCCATCGAAATTGACTGGAAGGCCACAATCGGTTGTTCCAAGATTATTTTGCTGACACACCAACATATCCTCTTCATTATTTTCGTCGAAGATTCAGAATGTCGCGTTCGTTATTAATCCACGACACAGTCGTCGAACATGACAAGTACTTCGTCCAAAAGAGGAATGGTGCTGGACAGTTAGGACTATCTAGTCTTCAAAAGATTACTGCAGCTATGCGGATGCTCGCATATGGAGCATCTGCTGACTCCGTTGACGACTACGTTCGAATCGGTAAAAGTACATCGCTTGAGAGCGTGAAGAGGTTCGTTCAATCGATTATCAACATCTTTGGAGAGGAATACCGCGTGTAAGCCTTCTTCTTCTTTGTGGTCGGTATTTCTTGGGATGACACTTGTTGTGTTGCGGATTGCGATAACTCGATGGGATGACCTTCTTCTACGACTTCTGTATAGAACGGCGAGTATAAGGTCGATCCTTCACCGGTAAGGAGTTGCGAATAGTAGTTGTTTTGAGAGGGATCCATGAGATTTGTAATTTGATAGGAAAATATAGAGTTTTTTTTTATGAGAGAGTTGTGTGGAATGAGTTGTGTAGTGAATTGTGAATTTATAGAGTTTTTCTTACTGTTCAATAGTCATTTTTTCACACAACGGTAATAATTTTCACTCAACGGACATTTTTTCACCCAACGGTAGTATTTTTCAATCAACTGCGAAGTTGAAAGCTAATTAAAAAAAAATACATCACAAGCTCAAACTCTGGCAGCCAATTAAAAAAAACATCACATCCAACTCCTCTTCGTCATCTCCCCTTCTTCTTTTCCCCAGCTCATTTCGTTTCCCCAAATCATCTTCATTTTTTTTCTCCATCGCAAGCTCAAACGCCTCCACTCTTCTTCGTTTCCAACCCCGAACACCAACACCACATCCAACACCGCGGATCNGTCAGCCTAAGGAGAGGGGCTTGGGAGGGGTTAGGAGCTTGCTGGAGGGGGGGCTGCCGAATTCCACGGCCACGTCAGCCTTGAGAGCTCTGAACAGAGCTTGCTGCCCTTGCTCTTACTTACTGTTGAAGTTGAATCTCTCAATACTAGTATTAAACAATACATTGCAAATACTTTGTTGTAATGGTCATCATATTTCAACTTGAAGAAGAAATACAAAACTAAATTTATATGGGTCGGGTCAGGGTAACCCGTTTAATAAACGTGTCGGATCGCATTGACCAATTTATTAAACAGGTCGGGTCGGGTTACACTTATACGGGTCGGATCAATTATGACCCGACCCGACCCGTTTGCCACCCCTACCTGAGATTAGTACTTGTAATTACGAAGGTGACCCTAAAGCATAGCTAAAAAGCAACTCCTAACCAACATTACCTATGTGCTTATAGCCAACAGTCTTGGATCACCCATGTAGACACGTAGATTTCGGGATTACCTATGTAATTATATCATAACTCAGGATACTGGAATGTAATATAATTCTAAAATTAATATTTTGAATTGATCTAAAAGTAGACCAGGCCGATTTCCAGACTATTGGATCCATCCGCCATGCAATTTGGATTAGGCAAACTGCATTAAATTCTGAAGCCTGGCCTCTATTTCCATCATAATTGCGCATATGAGACTAAGTTAGTTGGGCCGGTGGCGATGCCATGAGCCGCACCAACCATTTAGTAAGCTCATTAAATCTCAACCACACCAACCATAAAGCTCAAAAACAAAAGTGGGGGCCTATGCGAGGGGCATAAACCAATGGTTAAACTCCGGCAAGTCCGCCGGCCAGTCAATCGATCCGCGGTCAACACAACTCTGCAGTCCCCCCCCTCCCTCCGCCGCCCAAGCTAATCTCCCTCCACCTCCCGCAAAATAATAGTGCATTTCTCAAACACCTCGCCTGCAGAAAGAAAGAGGGGAGAAAAAAGAAGAAAGAAAAAAACTCGCCGTCATGGTTTCACCCAGGTGCGCGAGCCAACGACAGCAGCCCCCTTCGGGCGATCTCACACGCGCCAGACGAGTTCTACCGCCCAGCCACACAAATATCCCACTCGACCTCCTGCCTTCGTCAGCCCGCGGCCGGTCAACCTCGCGCATCTTCACCCAGCAGTGGGCCCGGCTCCACCGGCCGCCGTCGCCGGACTCGTTGCCGTCGTTAGGGCACGCTTCACCGAGAGTCATCCTGGTTCGTCCAGGCTCACCGCCGCCTATCTCGTCGAGCACGGCTTCGCCGTCGCCGCCCTCGACCACCGCGGCCACGGCCTTCTCGCGACGCCTCTCGCGCCCACATCCGCGAACATGCGGACCTACGGGCTGATGCGCCGACTGCGTTCTTACTTCGACTCGGTGCGCGACGGTCACGATCCCGCCCTCCCCGCGTTCATCTAGCGCGGAGTCGCTTGGGCGTGGCGGATCGCGCTGGTCTGATTCATTTCGAGGAGGAGGGAGGAGGGGGTGGGATGGGCTTGGTTGCTGTAACGGGGCGATGTGGCGGGATCAGCGGGAAGTTCAATGGCCGCCTGTGGCACTGGAGACGTCTGCTGGGGGGTCCCGTGGACTGTGCCGACGTGGCAGGTGGTGGCCCACGAGGGGGTGCGGATAGACCGCGAGGTTCGTTTAAGGAGGAGTGGAAGAGGAGGCTGCGATGCGAGCCCGAGAGAGGGCGGTCAGGCCCAGGGCGGCCACGGCCAAGGAGCTGCTCAGGATCTGCAGGTAGGACCGGAAACTTTTTGACTCCAATCCAAATACTGAGGTGTTCGTATTCGTGTTGGTATTTGTTTACATGGATTTCCGAGTAGAAGAAATTTTCAAAACAGCCTCAAACCATATTTTAATTTTTAAAACCGACCCAACTTTTTTTTACCAAAATCTACCCACTTTTTGCTACGTCAGCTTAATCTCATTCTTAAACAGTCGGGGTTGGCAACCCCGACTGTTTAGAAGGTTGTTAAACTCCAATTAGAAGCCTTAAACCTGATTTTTATGTCCTAAATAGTCGGGGTTGACCACCCCGACTAATTAGGAAATGAGATTAAGTTGACGTGACAAAAAATGAGTCGATTTTGGTAAAAAAAAGTGGGTCGGTTTTAAAAATTAAAACATGGTTTGAGGCTGTGTTGAAAATTTCTGTTTTCCGAATATTCAAGGCCACGTCACCTGGGTACTTCTATCATGAAGCCGTAGACATTGACGCATATGATATACTTCAAGTTTATTCCCTTTTGAACTCTTTTGACAGATTTGTTTAGTTTATACCTAGTTTACAGCTATGATTTTAATGTTCAGACATATTTTTAAAAAAATGAGCGATTCTAATTTATCTGCATCGTAAAAGAAACAAAAAAAAAATTGTCACGAGAGTTCTAATTTTCAATGGGAACGAGTTTTTTTATTGACCTCGTATAAATTATTAATTTCAATATCTCTATATAGTTGTGTCTCTATACCATATTCTTTACAAGCATGTCGTATCCCGTACTCACATCCGCATACAATATCCGTACCCAAGTTCATACAACTCGGATTGATTGATATTTATCGAATATTGATGTATATTTATCTGATTAGTATCCTATAATTTATGAGTAGAACGAATCGTGACTCGTGCATTATTCCGTGTTCATATACGTATGTCACTGTCCACTGACGTGGAACATATGCATATCCTCCGTTAGCTAACTACACAGAGGGACGCATCATTCCCCTTTTACTCTTATGAATAATTTACTATTTAGTTAGAAAAGATATTGTTATAGTTAATTATTTTAATATCAGTTAAATTCCTGACCATAAATTGTTTGTAGATATAAATATGTAATTTTAATATTTGGTATTAAAAAAAAGACTTCGTACTCATTAGGTTTGACAAAATAAACTGAATATCATGCAACCTCACAAATTATAACGAATCAGATTTTCACATGAATATTTGATACTAAAGGAATTGAATATGCAGATTATTATTTGATTTTTCTTAAATGATCTCCGGAAGCAAATTTGAACGAATAGGTAAATGGATAAACTAAATATATTGGATAATTATTTGATCCAACTTCCACCCCTATTTCCAGGGAGGTGCAGGGGAGGTTCGAGGAGGTGACAGCGCCGATGCTGATCGTGCACGGGGGAGAGGACGCGGTGTGCGACCCTGCATGCGCCGAGGAGCTCTACAGGAAGGCGAAAAGCGAGGACAAGACGATCAAGATCTACCCGGGGATGTGGCACCAGCTCGTCGG